TTCACCTCAAGGTCTTCAGTCCCCTCATCTTGGGCATTGTCTTAACCTTGGACTGGCCCTGGACTCTGCTGTACTCTCAGGCCTGGCTCTCTACCTCTAGCTGGGCTGCCAGTGGTCCACTGCAACCCTGTTGCCATTTGATTAAATAACAATATATGGCTAGGCTTGGTGGCTCATGTCTGTAATCCTAGCTATGCAGGAGGCTGAGATTGGGAGGATTGCAGTTCAAGGACAGCTTGGGGAAAAAGTTCACAAGACCCCATCTAAACCAATGGCTGGGCACGGTAGTGTGTGCCTGCCACCCCAGCTATGAGGGAAGCACAAATGGAATTGTGGTTCTAGGCCTGGGCATAGAAAACAAAACCCTATCTCAAAAATAATCAAAGCTAAAAGGCCTGGGGGCATGGCTCAAGTGGTAGAGTGCCTGCCTGCAAGTTTTAGCCCATGAGTTCATGCCCCTACCCAGTACTGCTAAAAAAAGAAACAAACAAACTGATGATTATAGTGATCTCAACCCTTTGCCTCAGTGAAGAAAAAGCAAGTTATAAAACATTATGTACCCTATGAATTCACTTAAGTAAAAAACCAAAAACTTTTATTTATCATTGTCTAGTACATAAAGTAGTAAGGACTCAAAATTGTAATGATTAAGAGAACACAGGAAAATCAAACAGTGGAATTTTATATACTATATTAGCTATGCTTATTATTATCATTGGTTCTTTATTCTTTTTTTTCCAAATTTACTACTACAGTGAACATACAATTTTTACATATATGTGTATATATATGTTTTAAACTATTTGCTTTCTCATTTATTTCTTTATTAATAAGTGGGAAGAGGTGACAATGAAGCTATTTTGTAGAAAGAGCTATGTAAGAAGTCATAAATTCTGTTATTCCCCAAAATATCTCAAGGTGCTTGGAAGTTTTGTTATCATTTTACTATGAAAGGTTGGAATGTGTCATAAAGGAAAAATACCTTGCATAGTTTAGTTACATAGAGCAAATTGGGATGTAATTCCAAAACTAATGACTTAATTTCATCTTAGGATGAGAGGTTTCAGAGGAAATAACAAGTGAATGGTAGCTGGCTACTCTTGCTTTGAAATAGTATGCTTAAATACTGGTCTCTGAGACTAACTCCCTGGGTGGAGACCTTTTTGTAGACCGAAATAGAAGTTGTCCTTATTCTCAGGGAGTTTATGAGCAAGTGACTGTGATTGATAAGTTACTTTTAGGTTTTATACTTCTGTTGAATTGGTCTTTAAAGTAAGAATGAGTACATTAGTGCTGCCTTAGTGGTTGTTATCAAAATAACTAATAAAAAGTAGTACTTAGTATTTAAAAAATAAAAATCTGGATATGTTGAATAATGAAAATTCCAAATTTGCTAATTATAAGTAAATGTCTATTGAGTATTTAAGTCAGGGACTGTGCTAAGTGTAATTTAAAAAAAACATTTATTTTCTGAGTAGGTAGTATTTGGTAACAATTTCAAAAGAGTATACAATAAAAAGTCTTCCTTCTACTTTCTCTCCCAACTGTCAGGTTTTTCTCAGCATTTACAGAAACATTTTATGCATGTTTAAAGATATATGTGTCTGCTACTATACCTTGTCAAGCACAAAATTTTTTTTTAAATGTACGATTTTTTTTATTGTTTTATTATTCATATGTGCATACAAGGCTTGGGTCATTTCTACCCCCTGCCCCAACCCCCTCCCTTACAACCCACTCGGACCCCTCCCTCTCCCCCCCACCCCTCAATACCCGGCAGAAGCTATTTTGCCCTTATCTCTAATTTTGTTGAAGAGAGAGTATAAGCAATAATAGGAAGGAACAAGGGTTTTTGCTGGTTGAGATAAGGTTAGCTATACAGGGAGTTGACTCACATTAATTTCCTGTGCGTGTGTTACCTTCTAGGTTAGTTCTTTTTGATCTCACCTTTTCTCTAGTTCCTGGTCCCCTTTTCCTATTGGCCTCAAGTTGCTTTTAAGGTATCTGCTTTAGTTTCTCTGCGTTAAGGGCAACAAATGCTAGCTAATTTTTTAGGTGTCTTACCTATCCTCACCCCTCCCTTGTGTGCTCTCGCTTTTATCATGTGCTCAAGTCCAATCCCCTTGTTGTGTTTGCCCTTGATCTAATGTCCACATATGAGGGAGAACATACGATTTTTGGTCTTTTGGGCCAGGCTAACCTCACTCAGAATGATGTTCTCCAATTCCATCCATTTACCAGCGAATGATAACATTTCGTTCTTCTTCATGGCTGCATAAAATTCCATTGTGTATAGATACCACATTTTCTTAATCCATTCGTCAGTGGTGGGGCATCTTGGCTGTTTCCATAACTTGGCTATTGTGAATAGTGCTGCAATAAACATGGGTGTGCAGGTGCCTCTGGAGTAACCTGTGTCACAGTCTTTTGGGTATATCCCCAAGAGTGGTATTGCTGGATCAAATGGTAGATCAATGTCTAGCTTTTTAAGTAGCCTCCAAATTTTTTTCCAGAGTGGTTGTACTAGTTTACATTCCCACCAACAGTGTAAGAGGGTTCCTTTTTCCCGCATCCTCGCCAACACCTGTTGTTGGTGGTGTTGCTGATGATGGCTATTCTAACAGGGGTGAGGTGGAATCTTAGTGTGGTTTTAATTTGCATTTCCTTTATTGCTAGAGATGGTGAGCATTTTTTCATGTGTTTTTTGGCCATTTGAATTTCTTCTTTTGAGAAAGTTCTGTTTAGTTCACTTGCCCATTTCTTTATTGGTTCATTAGTTTTGGGAGAATTTAGTTTTTTAAGTTCCCTATATATTCTGGTTATCAGTCCTTTGTCTGATGTGTAGCTGGCAAATATTTTCTCCCACTCTGTGGGTGTTCTCTTCAGTTTAGAGACCATTTCTTTTGATGAACAGAAGCTTTTTAGTTTTATGAGGTCCCATTTATCTATGCTATCTCTTAGTTGCTGTGCTGCTGGGGTTCATTGAGAAAGTTCTTACCTATACCTACTAACTCCAGAGTATTTCCTACTCTTTCCTGTATCAACTTAGAGTTTGGGTCTGATATTAAGATCCTTGATCCATTTTGAGTTAATCTTGGTATAGGGTGATATACATGGATCTAGTTTCAGTTTTTTGCAGACTGCTAACCAGTTTTCCCAGCAGTTTTTGTTGAAGAGGCTGCTATTTCTCCATCGTATATTTTTAGCTCCTTTGTCAAAGACAAGTTGGTTATAGTTGTGTGGCTTCATATCTGGGTCCTCTATTCTGTTCCACTGGTCTTCATGTCTGTTTTTGTGCCAGTACCATGCTGTTTTTATTGTTATTGCTTTGTAATATAGTTTGAAGTCAGGTATTGTGATACCTCCTGCATTGTTCTTTTGACTGAGTATTGCCTTGGCTATTCGTGGCCTCTTGTGTTTCCATATAAATTTCACGGTAGATTTTTCAATCTCTTTAATGAATGTCATTGGAATTTTGATGGGAATTGCATTAAACATGTAGATTACTTTTGGGAGTATAGACATTTTTACTATGTTGATTCTACCAATCCATGAGCATGGGAGATCTCTCCACTTTCTATAGTCTTCCTCAATCTCTTTCTTCAGAAGTTTATAGTTTTCCTTGTAGAGGTCGTTCACATCTTTTGTTAGGTGTACACCTAGGTATTTGATTTTTTTTGAGGCTATTGTAAATGGAATTGTTTTCATACATTCTTTTTCAGTTTGCTCATTATTAGTGTATAGAAATGCTAATGATTTTTCTATGTTGATTTTATAGCCTGCTACCTTGCTGTAGCTATTGATGATGTCTAGAAGCTTCTAAGTGGAGTTTTTTGGGTCTTTAAGGTATAGGATCATGTCATCTGCAAATAGGGATCTTTTGACAGTTTCTTTACCTATTTGTATTCCTTTTATTCCTTCTTCTTGCCTAATTGCTCTAGCTAGGAATTCCAGTACTATGTTGAATAGGAGTGGAGATAGTGGGCATCCTTGTCTAGTTCCTGATTTTAGAGGGAATGGTTTCAGTTTTTCTCCATTAAGTATAATGCTGGCTGTAGGTTTGTCATATGTAGCTTTTATAATGTTGAGGTACTTTCCTTCTATTCCTAGTTTTCTTAGAGCTTTTATCATGAAATGGTGTTGGATCTTATCAAAGGCTTTTTCTTCATCTATTGAGATGATCAAGTGGTTTTTGTCTTTGCTTCTGTTAATGTGGTTTATTACGTTTATTGATTTTCGTATGTTGAACCACCCCTGCATTCCTGGGATGAAGCCTACTTGGTCATGGTGAATAATCTTTTTGATGTGTTGTTGAATTCGGTTTGCCATTATTTTGTTGAGGATTTTTGCATTAATGTTCATTAAGGAGATTGGCCTATAGTTCTCCTTTCAAAATTTTTTATATCCTTACTTAATACAATAGTTGTTGAGGTAGATATTTTTATTATCTCAATCTTATAAATATGGATACAAAGACATTTCAGTTTTTGAATATCTTTTTCAGTCACATAGCTTATAGTTATAGAATCTACTTCCCCTACATTACTTTTTAATTTTATTTATTACATTTTTACTTAGAAATAATTTCCTGCAGCAGTCTTAATAATGTTGGCAAAAGGAACCAATCCAGAATCACATGTCATTCCCAGTTGTCATGTCTTTCTAGCCTCCTTCCATCTAGAACAGTTTCTTCAGTCTTTTCTTGACTTTATGACCTCAGTTATTTTTGGTTTGCAGTACAGGCCAGTCATTTTGTGGAATATTGCTCAATATACAGTTGTCTTATGTTTTCTAACAATAATACCCATATTACGCAGTTTGGGCCAGAATATTTTAGAAATTATGCTGTTGCATCCTTACAGGTGGCACACAATGTCTCTTTGTTCCATTATTCCTGTTACAGGCAGAAGTGAGAAAGAAGGCAACAGAGCGGAAAAAAAGATTTATATTGGTTTGGTTTTCAGAGAACCCTCTGTTCAATAAATATCTTTTCCTTGTAGCATCCTGGTGGAGAAGAAGTTCTGATAGAACAAGCTGGTGCAGATGCAAGTGAAAGCTTTGAAGATGTAGGTCACTCCTCTGATGCCAGAGAAATGCTAAAGCAGTACTACATTGGTGATGTCCATCCGGTAAGAACTATTAGAGAATTAGAATCACTCTGCAGTAAATAGCCACATAGCAGGATGAGAAAATGAATTATTATAATAGGAATTCATTCGACTCAGCTGTGAGGCTAAATTTTCTCCAGAATCACCTAACCTTATGGTGCAGCACATAGTACCTTTGAAAAACTAAGGGAACTGATTTTAGATTATTTTTATTGATTGATTTTTATTATCAATATAAAAATAGTGCAATTTTTGAAGGTAAAAAGAACACATTTAATACTTTTACTGGGACACATTTTCCAGGGCAAATCTGAACTATAGTCAGCCTAATACAGATAGATTTTTTTATTAGCATATAATAGTTGTGCAGGGGGTACATTGTGATCTTTAATATGTACTTACAATATATCTTAGTTAGACTCACCCCCTCCATTGTTTTCTCTCATTCCCCTTCCCCTTTTTATTGATTGATTCTTGTAATTAATAACACCTGTGCCTAAAATAGTGGTTTAATTGTTCTTGCAAGTCCCCTGCTAAAAGCAGTAACTGTGGACTTTTAAATCCTTTCTTTGTTCCATTCTAACAGGGGCCCTGCCTGGCCACCTCCAGGGAAGGGAAGTAGAGATGGGAGAGAGCCTTTTTTTTTTTAAGTCATGTATACTCTTGAACTATTTAACTTTTTTTTTCAACCATGTACTGTGTGTGTGTGTGTGTGTGTGTGTGTGTGTGTGTGTGTATTAAAAAATATTTTTAAATGCTTTGATTTTATGTATTTTATAGTATATATTTTTTCAATATTTATTATTTTTTCAAGCTAACACTTATTAAGGAAAACTTTCTGAATTAGATTTTGCCCTTTCCATTCAATTGCTTATTTAAGAACCTTGACTACATCAAAGCCCTCGAAAATGAAAGTTTAGTAACTCTCAGAGAATTCACTACCATAAAAATGTAGATTCATATTCCGAGGTTAGACACTAGCACACAGTAAGAGTAATTTTGGAGCTGTGGCTCATGTGGTAGAGTGCCTGCTTTGCAAGTACAAAGCCCTGAGTTCAAATCCCAGTCCCACCAAAAAAAAGAGTTATTTTGGCTATGTCCTAAAACATTGTTCTCTTTTTTAACAGAGTGATCTTAAACCTCAAAGTGGTAACAAGGTAAGAATTCATGTTGTCTTCTGTGTTTCAAGTGCTTATGTTTCTGTTTAGTCAAGTAGAATTGCTTTTTAAAACAATTATCTTAAGAGAAGTTAAAAAGGGTTGACTTTTTCCCAAGCAAAAATCCTATTTTTTAGGAATTTGGACTCAGTATCTCTCAGGAAGAAAGAATAGCTGAGTCTTAAACATAGGAAACATTTTGCTAATGCTTCTGTATGCTTTTTTTTTTTTTTAAATTAAAACTCTGAAGTATGCCTTCTATAGTTTTGAAAGAAATTAGTTTATGGGTTCAGTTATAGAAAAGCATCTTACTCTTACCTTATATAGAACAGGGGAAAAATAATTGCTTCTTTCTGAAAAATAATTAGAAAGTTAATTTTCTCTAACAGGTTATCTTCTTTATTCATAATACACATACCTTTCTCTCGCTATTTCCCAAATTTAATTCTTTTATCCTGTAGTGTTAATAGGCCCACACCCTTTCCAGTTACTCAGTTATGTAGCAAAAATGAAAGATTCAGTATTTGAAGTGTTTGAAAACCTTAATGTGCTCTGCCTTACATACCAGAAAGAAAATATGAAAGCCTTTTCTGCTTCCCATAAGCTGGGTGGTTTCTCTTATGGTTTCCCTTGACTTCTGTCTTCAGATGCTGTTACACTGCCCTCTGAAATGGACAGCAGTCTAGGTGCTGCCTAGAACTTCATGGACACAAGGCAAACTCCCTTTTCCTTCTTTTAGCTTCTTGCTTCTCATTCCCTTTTGAGCCAGAATTATTAAACAGATTTGACACAGCGATTCAAGTTGGCCTGGACACAAGCATTCTTTCAATTCAAGAGGTTGCTTGCTTGGCAGTGTCTACCATCTGTCGCTCTGCAATCCAGAGTGTTTGTCTAAATTAACTCTTCTATCTTGTTAGACTCTACTACTCAGAGCTATTGACTTGTTTATGAAAGAGAAATGAAATGGCTCTTTTGACACTTTGTAAGCACAGGTGGTTGGTTTTGGCTTCCCCTCCTCACACCTGTACTACCTATTCTTGAGTCCTCACTTGTGACAGTAAGGTAAAATTTGAACTAAGCATAGCCTTTTCTGGCATATTGAATGTGTCCAGAAAAACTCTCATTCTCAGAACTTAGCTTTTCAGTCAAGGGATATCCCATTTTTATAAGAGATGCAGTTTGTATCTAGGAGCAATAACTCATTTCTGCACAGCAATCATGAGGCAAGCCTTTATATTAAAACAGTAGGAAAATATTTTTGCAATTATAATGTCTAGAAGTCTATAAATTGCTTCTTGTTGCTGTTTTTCTTTCTTGGTAGTATAGTGGGTACTTAGGACCATTCTTAGAAAGGAAGAGCAGTATTCTGTAAATTCTGCTCCTTGTACTACCTAAATTCTAACCCCTTGGAAGAACATGAAAATACAAAGTGTATACTATCAGGCTTTCATGACTGCTGCTTCAGAATCTCTGGAGCTAGGGCTTAGGAATTTGCATTTTAAATAATCCAAGTGATAAAGAGGTAGTCAAACACCAAACTTTTTGCTGAATGGATAGGTCCATCTTTTCATTTGAAAACCTAGGGAAATTTAATTCTCTTCTGTGCAGAGTGTTGTCTGCCTTCTATAAGCCAGAGAATTAATTAGAGATGTGTCAGCTAAATTAAAACTGTTGCACCTTGGATTTTTTTGTTATTTTAGAAAAAGAAACCACTTCAGCCCTCCAAGTTCTATAATAATTCAGAAGTCTCCAAATGTAGTTTTAGTGACTGAAAGCACTTTTCAGGCCTCTGTTTTCTTCATGTCACTTGTACTCAAGGGACCAGTCTCCATTAAGTAGTCTGACTGCTGTGTGTTTCCAGACACAATGTTGCATTTTTGACAGATTAGGCAAAGAAAATCTTTTGGAAAAATTTCAAGATCACCTTTGTAGGTTTTCAGAGCTGTATTCCAACCTTATTTCAGTTCCAAGAACAAGTCTTGATCCCTCAGATTTATTTCTTATAGGGGTTTAAATAGACACTTCCATGTCTAGGATATAAATATCTGTTTTCATTTTTCTATGTCTGGTTTAAACATTCACCATCAAGCAATGGAAGTGAGATTCATTTCATTAATTGCTTTCCTTTCTTTTAGTTCACGGTTTCTGAGTCTTTGTGAAGTGACTTTTTAAAGCCTAATTAAGAGGAGTCTTCAGGACTGGAGGTGTGGCTCAAGTGGTGGAGTGCCTGTTTTGCAGGTGTGAAGCCCTGAGTTCAAACTCCAGTCCCACCAAAAAAAAAAACAAAAAACACTTAAAAAAAAAAAGGAGTCTTTAGCCTTGTGAAACAGACTTAATTTCCCATCTCCTTCATTCCTGTTTCTTCTTTTCTCCTTTCCCACCTTTGTAACCCTCTAGCCCCATTTCTCCTCCCTATATCACACTCTTCCCATAAAAAACACAGAAAGCACACCTGAATGTTGCTATTCCAGACTATAAATCAGGAACCATTTCCCAGTTCTTTTAGAAACTTCTGCCTTTCATATTGCTTCTATTATAACTCAGATAAATACTTAATGGTTATTGTTAGATTAGTAATACCTGACTTGAAATATTATAGTATAAAGTTTTAAAAACTTCAAAATTTACAATCTGACAACAGATACTTTCTTATTTGCTTTAGGTAACTAACTAGAATTAAAACCATTTTGCCTGTATGAATCTTTCTGGATTAACCCCCATGCTGAGTCATTAATCATATATATCATTTTGTTGTTTTTTTGGTGGTACAGGGATTTGAAATCAGGGGCCTTGCACTTGCTAGGTAGGCACTGTACCATTTGAGTGCCTACCTCTGACAGCCCTTATTTGACTTGACATTTTTCTGGACTGCTTTTGGTTATGGAAGTTCACCTTAGAAAAAGACTTGGTGTTATCTGTTATTGTGCCTATCTTCCTCTTCTATTTTGTAGCAAATAACTGACAGGTATTTGTGATCCATGAATTCTGTCTTTTGATTACGCATTTACTTCTTGCTTAGCTGTTTTACCACTCAATCTGCCATCAGTTCAGGAGATAAAATACATACATATAGATCCTAACCTGATCAGAAAAGTGGACATCATTTCATTCATTTATTTAACAGATATTATCTAGATGATAGTTCAGTTGCTTTACTAGTCAAATCCATTTCAGTAAATAGACCCAATAACTTGACCATTGTCTTGTTAATACACACACACACACAGTACATGATTGAAAAAAAAAGTTAAATAGTTTAAGAGTATATTTGACTTAAAAAAAAGGCTCTCTCCCATCTCCGCTCCCCTTCCCTGGAGGTGGCTAGCCATCATTTTCTTGTTTTCTCTTCCAAAGAGGGTCTTTGTATATAAGGATGGATGGATGAATGGATGAATAGGTGGATAGATGGTTTGACCATACTTTCCTTTAAAAAAAACCAGCCCAACACACTATTCACCTTTCATCTCTTTATTAGTGATTACTCCTTATCAAATCATAGAGATCTTCCTCTTTTAAATAAATATTTAAAATTTCATAGGCAAAAGTTTTGATATGGTAGCATGTTATAATAGAATTTGATCTGTTTTTTAAAAAACAAATTGTCTTCATAGAGCCTTAATATGTGTTTTTAACTTTAGTTTTTAACTTTTGAAATCCAGTAAATTCCAAGAATATTAGGAGCAGTCTGTGAGTTGCATTTAAGGTCAGCTACATTTCTTTCTCTTAGATGCTGATTTTTACTATACATACAGTTTTTTGTTATACATATATACCGTATATATATTTACATTTTATATTGTTTACCTCCTCCTCTTTCATGGGAAATAACCTAAAACGGATGCATTATTTATAATTATGTAATATAGTTAGTTGGTTGCTCTGTTAGTTTATTTTCTGTTACTGTCACAAGATACCTGAGGTTGGGTACTTTATAAGGAAAGAAAAAGGTTTATTTAGCTTACAGTTCTGGAGGCTCAAGGGCATGGTGCCAGCATGGCTCAACTCCAGTAAAGGCCTCATGGTCGATGGCATCATAATGGCAGGAATGAGTGGTGGTTGGGGGAGAAGGTAAGACAGACTAGTACTGCTGTAATTCCTACCAAGGGCACACCCTCAAGTGACCTAAGGACCTCCCATTAGGCTTCACTTCTTAACAGTTCCCACTTCACATCACTATACTGAGGACCAAGCTTCTATCATACTGAACTCTTGAGGAAAATACTCGAACCATTATTCAAATCATAGCAACTACATTAAACTAGAAATTTACTTTTAAGGATTTTTTTTTTTACTATTCCTATTATACCTACTACGAGTTTTATTAAAATTTGAAGTGGGGATGCATGTGCCCATAAGACCAGTAGTGATTGCTAGTTACCAAAGAATTCTGTCTGGTTGTTTTATTGTTCCCTGCATTTGTCTGAACTTTGTGTTTTGTAACATAATCCTTTAGAAATAAGCATAGAATGTCATGGTAAAATCACTTGAAAAACAAAATCCCCTTTCCTGAGTGATGGCATGAAGCTCTGTTATGTATTTCTGCAAAACAAGAGATCAGAAAAGCAAGGTAGTATCCTTTTCAAATCAGCCCTCTACTTGTTAGCTCCCAATAGAGATCATCATGTGAGTGTCTTAGGTTTTTAAAATTTTTTTCTTTAGTCATGTGTTATATATTTTATATAATGGGTTCTTAAACTCATAGAAATTTGTGTTAGGGAGTGTTTTTGTTTTGAATTTTGCCCTGTCTACAGGGAAATATTTTTATATAACCAGGCTGACTTTAGGGATACATACTTTGCACAGCAGTAATTGTTAAACTGTATTCTCATTCAGAAAGAAATGGTTTGCAGTTATTTGTATATTTTATTATGCTGGAACTTCATGAGAAAGCTGTCCCCAAAATCCATACCACATGACCATACTGGAACTATATATAAATTATATACCTTCAGTCTTCAAGCTTTTTAGGTGGTAAGAGGCACCTAATACTGAAATTCATG